AGGAGAGAGAAAAAGGAGGTGCAGGGAGAACCTTAAAACAAAAAAAGCAAACGAAGAAAGGTTGGGGGGGCTCTCCTGGCGCGCAGCCCCGAGCCCACCATCACAGGTGGGTGAGCTTGGGGGCTTCCTGAATTCTTCCCTGAGAAGGATGGTGGGCAGTAAGGTCCGTGTAGGTGGGGTGCGGCTCCCCTGGCCCAGGCCCGTGATGGTGGCTGCTGCCCAGCGGCCCAGCACCCCCGTAGTCCATGGCAGCTGAGGCGGCGTGGGGGAGGTGAGTTAGGCCAAAGAGGGCCGGCCCAGAGTTGCTCATGGGCTCCACATAGCTGCCCCCCACGAAGACGGGGCTTCCCTGTAAGTGTGGGGTCCCATAGCTGCCGTTGCCCTGCAGGCCATGAGCGTGCGGGTCATAGTCGGGTGTGCCCCCTGCGCCTGCCCCCGCAGCTGGGTAGCGCTTCTGTGGGGGCGGCGGGGGCGCGCAGCTGGGCAGGGGTGCGGGGTAGGAGGCAGGGGGCAGCCCGTAGGCGCCCTGGGGGGGCTTGGAGAAAGGCGGGGGCGACTGGGGCTCGTAGGGGACACTGTTGACCAGCGAATGCATAGAGTTCAGATAGCCGCCAGCGCCCGGGGGCACGGGGCTGCGACTTGGGGACTGGCCCCCTGATGATGTCAGCATGCCCTTGCCCTTCTGATCCTTCTTGTATTTCATGCGGCGATTCTGGAACCAGATCTTGATCTGGCGCTCGGTGAGATTCAGCAGGTTGGCCATCTCCACGCGCCGCGGCCGGCACAGGTAGCGGTTGAAGTGGAACTCCTTCTCCAGCTCCACCAGCTGCGCGCTCGTGTAGGCCGTGCGTGCGCGCTTGGAGGACGCCTGCCCAGGCGGACTCTTGTCGCCTGCGCAGCTCTCCCCTGCCACGACAGACGAGAGAGGAAGAGCGGTGTCAGGGGCTGCTCGGCAACCCCGCCCAGTCCCTGACCCAACCAGGCCCCTCCTTGCTGCAAACCCCAAAGTGCCCTCTATTTGTCAGGGCCCAGAACGGGGAGGAGGAACGGAGTGCTGTCCTCTGGCCTGGTGGGGAAACAGTGCTGGTCCCTGGCCAGCTAGCCCCTCATTCGGTCAAATTGCAAATCATAGGCTTCTCCAAGGGGGTAAGGACAGAAAAGCAGAACCCCCAGTTTGCTTCCTAGTCTGCACTTCCTTCCTGGAGCTGTTCACTTTTTGACCCCTTTAATGATCCTGCAGGCCTATCAGACTACAAGCTCCCTGTGGGCAGGGCCTCACCATCTTCTTTCCCTTCACACTAACTGGAATGTGGGCCACATAATATATACTCAATAAACCTTTCCTTCATTCAGTCTAAGAGATTGGATAGTTGCCTCAACTGGCCACTTATTTAATTTCCCGGGTGGAGATGGGTAGCACAGAAGCCCCAATCTGGAAGCCTTCTCATCACAAAGGAAGAGATCCCATCACAGTATCCATTTCTGGTGGAGAGGCCCAGGCTCCTGATGCTGGGTCCTATTAATTAGGGTTTCTCCGTGTCACCAAACAGCCTGCCCAGCTTTGCCCACTAATCTGGCTTCCTGTCCTCCCTGGCCCTCCCAAGTCCTGGTTTGGGAATGCCCCAGACTCTTAGAACAGAGCACTGGCAACTGGAGAAGGCAGGGGCAAAGGTAACCAAGATACTGGGAAGCCCCAAGACCCAGGACCTATCATCCCCTGGAGTCGGGTTCCAGGAAGCCCATGTGGTTCCTATTAGGATGACAAGTTTGAATCCCCTCCCCCAGGAAATCTCTGCTGCCTTCATTTTGCTAAGTCTGAGTTGGGCCTTCCCAGAGGTAAGGCAGCCACTCCATCTGCTGGAGCAAAAATTAAAAATAGGCTCTGATTATAAGCAAAGCATTGATTCTGAATTGGAGGGTGATTAGGCCTGCTTTTATTCTGCCACATTCCAGTGTGGGGGTGGGTGTCACTACTTCATTAAAAATGAAGAGTTGTGCTAAAAACAGAGTGGAGCTCAGGTTTGTTCTGCACAAAAGCCCGAACTCCAAGAATGGGACAAGTGACTCCAAACACACTAGGCCCCACTTGCTCTTGGTGAAGTCCAGAGAGACTTCCATTAGGTCTCTCTGGGGTTTCCTGTGTGCATAGTCCTGTCACCTCCCTAGTTGCAGACTCTGGGAACCTGTGAAGGGTGGAACCAGGAGGATCAGTGGATCCTTGGAAATGTTCCAGTGCTCCAGGCCGTGCTAGCTATGCATGGAGCTGGCTTAGGAAATGGGGAGCCAGGCCAGAGGACCCTCCTCCAGAAGGCACCCCTTTACCTGAGCTGGAGCCACTGGTTTTCTGCTTTGTGTTCTGTCGAGACTCCTTCATCCAGGGGAAGATCTGTTTGGCCACGGTGGGCGAGTTGAGTAGGGGGCTCTTGGCCGCACTGGCTGGGGTGGGGTTGCTGCTGGCATTCTGAGGTGGGGAGACTGAAGAAGGGGGTGGGGGTGGAGCAG